ACGAATTCTTTTCACAAATTACTTTTCCTAAGCTGTCCTCATACATGATGTAATTAGGGTAAAGTTTTTCCAAGAACATAATAGTCAATTAATCAATCACTCTGTCAATAATTTGTCTTGAACTCTTTGACTCGTCCCTCTACCTTCGGTGGTTTAGCCATAGTTTATGCTAGAAATGTAATGTTTATGCTCGCTATAATTGCTCCTTTTGCTCCATGTTTTGGGGCTGTTTACAGGGTTGGTAATGCTTCTGGTTGGCATCCAATGCTTGATTACCAAAAGTGGGCCTCTTCCAATAAGTTTTTTGCTGGTGACACTATTTCCTCCTTCACCTTTTGATTCCACTCCTTGATAATATTGAAATATTGTTGTGTCGGGTCAAACTTAAAACAAAAATCTACAATTTTTTTTGTTATTTTTTCTTATTTCAAATATCATATGTTTGTATATGTGAGTTTGTCATTTTTTGATCCATTAGTTTCTTTTATCAAATATTGCTGTCTCAAAATCTAGCAACATCTACTTTACATTTGTTTCAGCTCCTTAAATAATCCACAGACAAAAATACTTTGATTTGTTTTAGTTTCAACTTTCAATTCTAAGCCTATAAGACTGTGCCTGATAAACAAAATATATAAGAGTCATTGGTGAAATTTTCAATTGTTTGATAACAGTGCTTCATCACTCCATATTTACACTGTTCAGATTGCTACCAAATCCTTGGCTATATGGTTGTCCTTGCATATTTTGTTTGATTATCATTGAGGCAAGTAGAATAAACTGAAGGGTAGTTTTTCCCACTAGTATAATTATAGATTAATGATTGAACATTTATCGCATGTAGTATTAGTTTCAGTTTTCTGTAATAATCTCTTTGAATTTTCTTGTTGGAATAATTAAATTTTCATTCATTAGAAAAAGAAGCTTGATACGATTAAACTGTTATTTCCCTACAAATCCATCTGCAGTAATAATTCTTTGGAATAAAGTTAATTTACTCTTACCTTTTTTTTCCCTTCAATTTCCCCTTTATTGTTGATCAATAGTGAGACAGAAGTCTCTGAGTAAAATATGAATATGAGTAAGGATGTGGAGATCGATGATTCATTAGAGATTTACAGTTGAAGTTTTTAGTTGCTTTTATAGCCCTTAATTTTAATTGGAGGTGTGCATAGACCTAAGAAATGAATGGAGAATATAACTTTCTATTGGTTAGTATCATTTATGCATAGAATGCATGGGATAATTGCAAAAAGGGGACCAATGTTAATAAACCGAGAGGAAAGTATTTCTTCTGTCAAACCTGCCATTGAAATGCAATTGAGAAGAGGAGGCATAGTCATGTAGAGGAACATATTTCCTTTACCCACTTTTGCCTGTGTGTCAGGCGTACGACCAAGTTGCCAACAAAAATATTGCAGATTTATCTGCCCTTGTTGTAGATACTTAATTTAATCTAGATTTGAATCAATTGGATTTGATCTAAATAGTTAAATTTATTTTATTTTATATCTTATTTATTTATTACTATTATTATTATTTATTAATATATATTATCATTTATCTATTAATATATATAAATTTTATTATTTATCTATTAATATATATAATTCTTATTGATATATTTTATTTATTATTTATCTATTCATTTTTTTTTGGCTGGGATATTGATCAGAGAGTTGGAAATTTTGCCATGGATTTTGGATTCAATCAGAGTCCAGATTAGATTCAAATATTGAATCACAATTCAAAAGAAATTAATGATTGATCAAAAGCTCTTCTGATCAATCCTTATAAATAAGTCTACAAGGATCACACGAAAAACAATATGGAGGAAACAAAAGCTAAAAAGGTTATAGGGCATTAGAAATAACTTTAGGAATTTGTGAAAAAAAATTTTCAAAAATTTTGAAGTTTTTCTGGAAAATTTCTGAAAACTTTTAGAATTCGGTGACTGTTTTCGGTGACATTTGAATTTTTCGACTAAATTTGAAGTTTCCAACAAGTTTTTTCAGATTCTGACGAAGTTTCAACCGAAATCTGGGTTCGAGTAGAGAAAGAGATAAGGAAAAGAAGGGAAGAGAGAGAGAGAGAATGAGAGATCTGGTGAAAAAATGGAGGTATTTGCCTTTTATATTCTGTTAAAACGATGTCGTTTTGCGCTTAAGAAAACCTTAGGATCCACGTGTTCCCATTCAGGTGACCTTACCTGTAGCGCACCCAATCCAGTGATCCGTTTCTCCACCTGGGTTCGAGTTGAGCCGAAACCAAGTCGAGCCGAACCACGTACTCCCAAGCCGTGTTCTTCGAGCCGTTTTATTTCTTAAGCCGAGCCGCCAAGCAGAGCCAAGCCGTTTCAAGTTTATTTATTTATTATTATTATTATTATTTATTAGATTAAAATTATTTAGTATTCTTTATTTTATTTTTTAAAATTTTAATTTAATTTAATTTTCTTTAAATAAAATTTCAAAAAAAATATTTTAGGGAAAGTTAAAAGTATTAATTTCCCTTGAAAAATTTTCAAATGCTTTAAGAAAAATTGAAAGTATCAATTTTCTTTGTATAAAAGCGATGAGTGTTTTTTTTTAAAGGGAAACGACTTATATCAAATATTGAACCATTATTCTTTTCTTTTTTTTTTGAATTTTTTTTATGTTAAATAATCCAACGATAGAGCCTCTACAAGTGAAACTATAGTTTCTTTGCATACTTTTGAGGTGAGAGAATTTTTTGAATTTTTTACTAAAAGTATTAGAGTAAATTGAGAATAATTTCAAATAATTAATTACTTGGTAAATTTTTAAGGTTTATTGGATAACATAAAATTAAGCTGGTACCATCTTTCGATGGGCGTTATGAGGGTGTTACAACCTTCCTCACACGTAATCGTACTCTCGAATCATGTTATAATTAGTAGACCTGAACCTATTCTTTTAAGGACCCATAGGTTTATGTATTCATTAAAATGATAGATTCTTTAGGTGATCAATCGTATCTAAATAAAAAAATTGATGACGATTCTTAAATTTAATGTCTAACGATAAATCTTCGGATCTAATGACACTTGTGATTCCGTACAAATAATGGACAAGATTTTATCAAGTTTGATTTGGGAGTGGGGATGGCCGATGGCCCCTTTGATGCATATTATATAAACTTGCAGAGAAGGTAGTCGTCCAGCACTCATCATGAAAGAAATAATACTTATCAAGGATGGTTTATATGTACTGCAAGAGCCAGGAAGGTGTCCTCCCCAAACCCAAGTAAGATATGCATGTCCCATATATGCCAATGTTATCATATTTTATTAAATTTCCAATTTTATATTTTACTGTGCTATTAATACCTTAATGATTTATTCCATATTAAATGAAAATATTGGCGGGATATTTGTTAAACAAAATGAAAGGTTTTATTTCCCCTTGTTTCCTTTTAATACAAGTTATAATCACCTGGTAATGAATTATGTTATTACCAAATAACCTTTACATATATAATATATGGAAAAAATAAATATATTATATATAATATAAACCTTAATAAATTCATATATTATAATAAAACAAAGTAAAAAAAAAAAGGTAAGTAAATGTTTGAAGATGCAATGAAAACATTGTAATGTGTCAAATGGATTCAATAAATTGTCAACTGTCACCTTTGAATTGGAAACTTAATGTGTCATCAAACCATGTAAAATAAAAAAGGAGAGAGACAGGTGAATCGGGTGAGTGAATTTGTAACTTCATTTCCTGAGAATAGTGTTAGACTGGTGTTATTGTTGGGTTACAAAACTGGAAGATAATTTTCACACACACACATATATAATCGGCATGAATGTCCTGACCTAATGTCTCTCCATTTTCATTCATACATCAACTATAACAATAAGATTTTACAGCAAGACTTTAAGACAACAGTTTGAGTTAGTATAGCCATAACAATTTTCTTGGATACCCTGTCACTTTTACAAGGTGTGTCTGGTAGGCATCTTAACTTCCATATATCTATAAAAAGCGGTGGCAGCAAAAAAATTTTTTTTTTTTTTTAATTTTGTATACCTTTTTTTGCTTTATTTGTTTAATTGACCTATTTATTAAGGCATTAAACCTTCATCACGCTTTCTTAACAAGGAAAACCAAATAATTTTAGATGACATTATTGATCTAGGAATTAAACAAAAACGAAGAATGATAAAAAAGGTTTGTGGTACTTAGTGTATTTGCTTATTTGGGCATAGAAAAAATAATAAGGGATTTACTCAATTTAGGGAATTATATTTTGATTGATGGCACACTTCAATGTATATGCTGGATTTAATCAATGAAGGGATTACTTTGTGCTTCCTCAATCCTGCTTTCAGAAACTGAACTAAAGCCGCCTATCATTTTCAAATCACTACCCATATTCTTGCAGCCCATTCACCCATATGTTTCCTATTAGTATTTAATTAACCAAAAGACATTACTACCAAAAAAAAATGTTTATTAGGGATAAAATTTTAGATTCTAATAGTAATTAAGTTTCATAATAATTTGAAGTTGAATAGCGATGTTATCGAAAAAATTAAACCAAAGCCATAAAACCTTTTTCTTAAACTAATGAGCTGTTTCCACGGAGGTTCGTTTCTACATTGATTTGGTTTGAAAAATAAAAATAAAATGAATTAGAGAAAAGAGGGAAGAAAGTAGTACTATAATAAAAAGGGTAGAAATTAGAAATAAAAATAACCATTAAAGAAGGGTAAGCGGGAGCCGAGCCGGGTAAGAAGCCGAAGTTGGCGCTTCTCCTAACCTGATAAGAACACGTGCAAGGACAGTCCAAACGCGTAAGACTCTCACTACCAAAGAGAAAGTAAACTCTCTCTCAGTAAAATATAAATTGGTTTTTTTTTAACATTAAAAAAAAAAGGAAAAAACAAAACGACGAAGAATAAATGAAGATGCACTGCGTATATAAAATAGCCACCAGCATAGGCCTAGCCAACTTATTCCTATTCATCTCCTCACTTGCTCACTAACTCCCCGGTTTTCACTCTCTCTTAACTCGGAGCCCAGTAGCCCACGGAGAACCGAAAAAAAAAACCCCTCCATCTCTCAACCTTCACTCGTCAGGCCACTGAGATTTGGAATCAGAGAGACAGGGAGAGAGAAAGAAAGAAACAGCTTGCAAACATTATATTTTTGCTTATCACTACCATTAATGCTTATCAGCAACAAAGCGTGAACAGAGCCAAGCTCTATTTTTGCTTTTTTCACGGACTTGCCAGACGACAGCAAACAAGCAATCAATCAAACAAAAGGAGAGAGAGAGGGAAAAAAAAATTACTTCAAAGCTTTTTCGTTGTTATTTTCGCGCGAACAGAGGAAGTTACCTAAAATGGAGCTGAGTAAGGTAACTTTGGAGATCTTCACAAAACTGGAGCAAAAATGGCTATCGCACTGTGAAACCACCAAGCAGATTCGAATCCTCAGCATTGACGGTGGTGGAACCACCGGCATTGTCGCTGGTGCCTCTCTTATCCACCTGGAAGACCAGATCCGCCTAAAAACTGGTGATCCGAATGCTCAAATTGTCGATTTCTTCGACATCATCGCCGGCACTGGCATCGGTGCTGTTCTTGCTGCCATGCTTTCTGCCGACGATGGAACTGGCCATCCACTTTTCACTGCTAGAGAAGCTGTCAAGTTTATCAGTCATCATAACTCCCAGCTCTTCAAAGTTAATACGCTCGCCGGAGTTCTTCACCGTAGGAAGAGATTCTCCGGTAAGAGCATGGATAAGGTGCTGAAGGAAATGTTTAAGAGAGAAGACGGAAAGGTTTTGACGCTGAAGGACACGTGTAAGCCACTCCTGGTTCCTTGCTTTGACCTTAAGAGTTCTGCTCCATTTGTTTTCTCTCGCGCCGACGCTTCCGAATCACCTAGCTTCAACTTCGAGCTTTGGCAAGTGTGCCGCGCCACGTCAGCCACTCCGAGCCTCTTCAAACCTTTCGCATTGACATCTATCGACGGCAAGACCTCGTGCTCCGCTGTAGACGGCGGTTTGGTGATGAACAACCCTACTGCCGCTGCGGTCACGCACGTGCTCCATAACAAGAGAGATTTCCCTTCCGTTAATGGCGTGGAGGATCTGCTGGTTTTGTCGTTAGGCAACGGTCCCTCATGTGGAAGGTCAAAGGTCCATAACAACGGCGAATGCTCAACTTCTTCCGTTATTAACATTGTGCTCGACGGAGTCTCGGAGACCGTAGACCAGATGTTGGGGAACGCTTTCTGTTGGAACCGTACAAACTACGTTAGAATTCAGGTACGCACATCATTTTTTTTTTCTTTAACCCCTATCGATGCTCTGTTTGGTTCTTAAGAAATTATTTTAATCCATGGTTAAATCGGTTGACTGGATTACAGTGATTTTTTTGTACATAATTTCCCTCGTATTTCTGAATAGCCAAACAGATTTCAACGATTTTTATTTATTTTTTTGGATTTATATAATTTTGTGATCGACATTCGACGGCTTGTAACGTGCAGGCAAACGGACTGGGGAGTGACAAGGGACCAAGAATGGAGGAAGTACTGAAGGAGAGAGGAGTAGAGTCGTTACCGTTTGGCGGAAAGCGGTTAGTGACGGAGACTAACGGACAGAGACTTGAGGGCTTTGTGCAACGTCTCGTTGCCTCCGGCGAAACCAGCCTTCCCCCAAGTCCCTGCAAGGAATCAGCCGTTAGCCTCCTTGCCAACGGCCTTTAGCTACTCTTTTTTCCTTTTTCTTTCCTTTATTTTTTTTAATTTTCTTTTTGTAACTCTTTTTAAGATGTAACAAATCTCAAGTTTTACTTATAACTGTCCGTACTTTGGAGTTAAAATAGCTGGTAATTAGTCATATGTCTCCGTTGTGGCTGAATTAATAATGTAAGATTAGGTGCTAAGTTAATGATGAATTAAATGACACGTCATTATTATTAGCAACATAAAGTATATATATCTTTTATGATTCACATTAACTTTTGTCTGGTGGACCGGCAATTCCTCAATCAACGAATTTCTTTTTGGCCCTTACAAAGAATGTTATGTGAAATTATTTGCTTCTAAGTACGATAATATTTTCAAGTCCAATTTTCAGTTTTTGTACATTTAAACCTTTAATTCTCCCCAACCTTTTTTTAAACGGAGAATGCCGCATTACTTCGTTGTTTACTATTAATTGGAGCATTTTTTGTTTCATTTAATGAAAAATTTAACCTCAACAACTAATTTAACTATGTTAAATATGAAATTTCATGCTTTTAAAATATTGTAAAAAATTAAATTACTCACAAATTGTTGAAGAATACGCGTGCAAAAAGTAACCAGAAAAAAATTATTATTACGTTTAGTAAAATTGCAAAAATATCTCATGCACAATATATCTAAAAAAAAAAGTACATATAAGAGAGTTTTTCATGTGGCCAATTTGCCATCTAAAAATGTACCAAATTTAAGGGTAAATAACGAGAACTATCAAGTGGTCCTCAAAGCAAAAGAATTCATGGTTATTGGTTTAGGAAGGAGTTTATAAGAAGTAAAATCACGTCCCTACATTCAAGTTATGAAGCAAGGTCCAAATTCCAAAGTACCGCCCCATATCTTTTCCTAAATGGCTAATATATATACATATATACGTATATAAGTGTATTGAAAAACGGCTCGGGAAAATCTTCAGCTCGGGCAATGCAAGATATTTCTATAGCATTTGCTATAGTAAGTGGTACACTAGAATTTCAATATTGTAACTGAAGGTTGAATTAACCAATCAAGGGATTGAAGCATTTTCTTAGAAATGAGGTTGAGCTGAGCTACCCTGACAACTCAGAACAAATTTCATCACAACAATTGTAAGATAAGTTGATACAACAACAGAGTGGGGGACTGGCAAACAAAGCAATGGGATCCAACGAGGAGAGTGGGGGCTCATTACTCCTTTTAACCAAGCCCTTCCCTTCCCTTTTGTAAACGCTGTAGCTGCAGATGCAAACATAAGAATAGACATGGAAATGGAATCAAATCCTCTTACTGCTACATGGATATTCTACCATGTCAAAGCCATTACATCAACAAGTAAAAAGTTAAAGAGAAAAAGAAACCAACCCTTTCCCTCAATGATCCTCTGAATTTTCTTTGCTCCTCTTTTGGTAGGTAAGTTTGCTGGAGGAATGGAGCACGTACTTCCCTCTCCACTTGCGTTGGCATGAGAGAATCCCACTATTCATTTGCTTGCATTAAAAATGGTCCCTAATTTGTTGCTCTGTGGTTTCCCATTTGGTTTTTTGGCTTTACTTACGGAAATTTCATATTGTCAGAGGGTAGAGAACAGTGATACTTTAATACTAGTTACGTAGAATATACTAAACTCATCCTCCCTATTATTAATCTTTTCGACTGGGATGATAATGACATTAGCTAAGACAAGATTTACAGCCTTAAACGGGGGTTGTTTTCAGTTTCTGAATTAGTGTCCGAACCCCACACTCCTCGCTCAGCCAACCTGTTTGATGTGGACAGTGCTGAGCTCTGGCGTTCCAAACATAAGCCCCCCACCTCGGGTCCCTGCCTCGTACGCCTTTTACCATGGGTTTTCATGGTGTGGGGGAGGTACGAGGGGGACCTCCAGTCTAGTTTTAGAAGTGAAATCTTTTTACACGTGTATAATTAACTATGCAATTTAACGTGGGAACAATGGTAGGGGGACCTCTCAACCATGACTAGCTAGCACTTTCATTCTAATTTCTTTTATATCTAAGAAAACGTTTCTATTAAATTAGCCTTATAGTTTAATGTGATTAAAAGTAATGTAAGGGGGAATTCTAAAACTAAGATTTTTATCGTAATACGAGAATACAACAAAAGATTATAAATGTTGAATTTTAAATTCGTAACGTATAAAAAAAAAAAAAGAGATTCGAATCTTAAAAGCTTAAACCTGATACAAGATTAAATTTATTGGACTAAGATGTAACTTAAATGCTTTGATTAATCTAATGTCATCTTTCAATGAAGGCTTTTCCAATTGGTAAAAACTGGTTGCAAAAAAGGTTTGAAGGATTCAAAAATAACTCATAATGTTTCAAGAATAATTTATTGAAAAGTGACACTGAAAATGTTGTAGGAAAAAGGCATTAATTCGTCAACTTTTATTTAATTTCACTACACGACTAAACCTATATGTTAGTAGAAGAAAACTGTTGCGCCTGAAGCAATAATCACAACAATACAGAAGCAATAGACAACAATCAATAATCAAATACACAGGAAAAATAAAGCACACCAAGATTTACGTGGAAAACCCTCCAGTGTAGAGGGAAAAAACCACGGGCCACCAGAAAAATCTTCACTATCAAATAATAGTTATACAAAGTTCTTCTCTAGCTAAAACTAGAGCTAATCAACAACTAGAGAAACAATTGGAGAAATCTCACCAAATAAGTGACTCAACAAATACACCCTGGATTTGTTTCTAGAGAGCTTCAAACCCGATCTTCACCGTTCAGAATGTAGAACTCTGAATCATAAACCTCCTGACAAGGTTCCAACTCAATCGGACCATGGATTGACTTCCGTTCAACCAACTCTCCCTTCTCCTTTTTCTCTCTCTGCTTTTCCTGGCTTTTCTTCTTTCTCTGCTTGGTTGTCGACACACACCTTAAACAACCCCACCTCTTTTTTATTAAGTAGCTAGGGCTCTGTGTAAAATAAAAGATCAAGGCCCATGGCCTTTACTTGGTCCAAAACCACTTACATGGGACTGGACCCCATTTTCCTAACAATCTCCCCCTCCAGCCCCATTAGGAGGAGATTCATCACCATAGCAATTTCATTTGGAACTTACCTTGGCCAGGGAACTCATTCCGGCCAAGTTACTACAAAGCTCAAGCTTTTCCCTGGGAAGTATCTTAGTCAACATATCTGCCACATTTTATCAGTATGGACTTTCATCAAAGCATCTGCTGTTCTCAATCAACTGAACGTAACCAATGATATCTAACATCAATGTGCTTTGTTCCTACGCATGGTACATGGTATTCTACTCAAATCCTAAACACTCTGGCTATCACAAAATACCCATACTCTTTCTGATTCAAACCCTAATTTCAAGAAGAAAACGTTTCATCCAAAAGCATTTCTTTACATGCTTCAGTTGCTGGCAATATACTCAGCCTCTGTAGTTTGACAAAGCACACACTTCTGGGCAACTTAGACGCCAAGATACAGCTCCTCCTGCAAAAAGTAACAAATACCCTTGAAAGTAGATTTCCATACCATCAAGATCGCCTGCCATGTCAGCATCAGTAAAACCCTTCTAGAACTGGTTGTGGAAACTCCATAACGTCAAGCACATTTTTTGAGGTACCCCTCAAATATCTAAAAATCCATTTCACTGCTTCCCAGTGAACCTTCCCTGGATTAGAAAGAAATCTGCTCACTACACCAACTGCATGAGCAATGTCAGGCCTTGTACAAACCATAAGATACATTAAAGAACCGACTGCAGAAGAATAAGGAATACTAGACATAGCTAGTTGCTCTTCCTTAGACACTGGACAAGATTTCTTACTTAGGTGAAAATGGTTGGCAAGTGAACTGCTAACTGATTTAGCATGTTGCATGTTGAATCTACCAAGCACTCGTTCAACATACTTTTCCTGTGACAACCACAGCTTTCCAGCTCTCCTATCTCGGATAATGTCCATACCAAGAATCTGCTTTGCTGGACCTAAATCCTTCATATCAAAGGACTTAGACAATTGTTCTTTCAACCTGCAAACCATACTAGCATCTTGTCCTACAATCAACATATCATCAACATATAATAATAGGATAATGAAGTTACCATTAGGGAATTGTTTAATATACACACAAGAATCTGCTGCTGTTCTTTTATAGCTATGACTCATCATAAAAGAATCAAACTTCTTGTACCACTGTCGCGGAGCTTGTTTCAAGCCATACAAGCTTTTCTTCAATTTGCAAACTAAGTGCTCTTTCCCTTTCACTTCAAAACCCTCAGGCTGATTCATATAAATGTCCTCCTGCAAATCACCATGCAAAAATGCAGTTTTAACATCAAGTTGCTCAAGCTCAAGATTCAAACTAGCTGCCAATCCCAGTACCACTCGAATAGAACTCATTTTTACAACTGGAGCAAAAATCTCATCAAAATCGATGCCTGGTTTCTGAGAAAAACCTTTTACTACCAATCGAGCTTTGTACCTCACTAGTTTGTCACCATCCTTTTTCAACTTGAACACCCATTTATTCTTTAATGGCCTCTTCCCTGTTGGAAGTTTAACAAGATCATAAGTACCATTCTTTCGCAATGACTCCATCTCTTCTTTCATTGCTTTTAACCAGTGCTCTCTATCCGGAGTAGCCTGCACATCTTGAAAGCTTTCTGGCTCCCCTTCACTGGTAACTAAAATAAAATCTGAACTTGGATACCTGGTAGATGGCCTGCGCTTTCTAGTAGATCTCCTGAGCTGAGACTCTACATCACTTGATGCTGAAGGTAGCTCCCCCTGCTCAACACTCTCAGGTAGAGAGGATTGCTCTCCCTGCTCAAAACTAATAGCATCTGGCTCATCACCAACTATGGCTGGCTCATTCATATCCCCAAGTTCTGTTTCTGGCTCATTTTCACCATCTGTGGCTCTTTCCTGTGAAATCCCTGTCGGTGTTGAAACATCACACTCAACAGTAACTCGTGTAGTCTTCTCATTTTTTTCAAGATCTGCTATGGTTTCTTTTTCATGAAAGACCACATCTCTGCTTCTGACTGTCTTTCTCTTTATTGGATCCCATACCCTGTAGCCAAATTCCTCATCACCATATCCTACAAACACACACTGTGTAACTTTACTATCAAGCTTTGACCTCTGCTCTTTTGGTACATGCATGAATGCTTTACACCCAAAAACTTTTAAGTGAGAGTATGAAGCATCTTTTCCTGTCCACACTCTTTCTGGAATGTCAAAGCCCAAAAGAACTGATGGTGACCTGTTAAGTAAATAAC